TTTTTTTTTTTTTTTTGCTGTTTAACCTCTACCCTATGAATTATTGAAACACAATGGCTAATGGCTAAAACCTAACTAAAGTAACTGCTCCCTAAACCATTCCTGTCACCTTTCTTTGAAACTAACTTTTGAATGATAGGAAAATGTTTCTGTAGTCACTGCACCAAGTCCCAGGCCTTCAAGGACCATTGTTACCGAGCCGGTAATATTTGGGCATTTAAAAGACTTTGCTTTCAAGCTCCCAGGGTTCTCATCTGATCTTTACATTTCTTTGCGCTGGAAACAGTTGCATCATCAATTGTCATTTAAATGAGTAACAAATCAAAACAAAAGCAGAAATTAAGTCCCTTTTCCGAGATGTACCAGGCAGTTAGAGCCAGGAATGAAAGGTGTTACATCCTGATTCACAAACCTTGCTTAATGGCCTGATGAGTTCATTTGCCTAGGGTTGAATCATACATTCCTATTCCACAGAACTGTATCATGGAGCCGCAGGGCAGGGGGCAAAGGCATAGGGCTTTGAGTCAGAAGATTCACAGCAGGGTCCCATATCCTGCTTCTACTTTTGAGATCTCGAATAAGTTCTTTTGCATCATAAAAATGGAACTAATAAAAATCATACCTAGTATTGGCTTGCTGTAAAAATCAAATAATATGATGTCAGTAACAGGAATTTGTAAATAGCAAAGTTATAAAAATACTGAGAATTTGTGTGTGTGTGTGAATTATAATCAGAATTCCCCCCAAATGGATTGTTCAGCCGATAAACTATCCAGATCATTTTTTCCTCTTCTTCCTTCTCTCTTCCTACTGTCTTTAGCCATTCTACTCTGTCCTCCTTGAAAAGAGATGGTGAACAGGGCCGGTCCTGATTCTACACATTAGAAGTAAGATACTACCTGTATTGCTGAAGTCGCTGTGTTGATTAGACATCCTTAATTACTAGGTATTATTTTAATGCTCCCCCTCATGTTTGTATTTCTTAGATGATTGGCAATTTAGCAAATTAGCGAAGCAGTGAGAATTATGATTTTTTAAATCCGATTTTTAAGTACTGTTCTGTACTTTGTTGGATCTAAAGGGAAAAACAGGATGTTCAGCAAACACATTTTGAAGCTTAGTTATACTTGCTGTGTTTAAATGATTCTCAACTAAAGGCTACATGACAATATCTCTGGCTAGTATTTGTTTAGGTGCTTTGTTGGTTGATGTGCATACAATCAAGCCCAGATGTGGCTACCTTTGTTTCTTCCTAGAACTTGTTTACTGTCACTAAGGCTGGCTTGGTAACTGAAGGCGAATGTAAATAGGAAACAGTGGAAGGATCCATAGATCAAGTGGTGTCCACCCTTTCAAGTCTATCCTTGGACTCTCTGGAAATCAATGACATCGGGGCACAGGGATCCCCAGAAAAATCTTTATACTAAGTCAGGCCAAAATAAACAGCGTGTGACTCTTAATGGTGATGCCTGGCAGATCATCACCAGCATGGGTGGTGGTCCTAGAGCACAGATGGACCAAAGCAGTTTGTTGTGGTGTCCAGAGAGAAATCACACTGAAGCAGGACTCGGTTTGCAGCACTTTCTTGTCAGATCTCCCACTCCCCTTAGCTCAGGCATCTTTCTTTGTTCACTACAGAGAAACAGATACTTTATATTATCAGATGCATGACTATTTTGCCAACACATGTGTATTAGGGAGTCTGGAGGTTTCTATGGAAAAAGTAAGATGCCAAAGAATTCCCTGTGTCCCTAACTCCCAGACCTTCTGGATCTTAGGTCGATTCCAAGACAGCTCTGCTTGTTTGCTGTAATTTTTCTAATGCCATTGGTAAGTTAGACCCTAAGTATTTGTACCTGCTACCCAGAGTCCCATCACCCTTCCACCCAAAGATTTATGTTCTGAAGAATCCACAATGCAAATTAATGATATTACCATCATTTGCAAAATTACCTTTGAACATCCATAACTAAACAGACATAGTTCTGGGTTTCTCAGTGAAATCTCTCAGTGCTAAGAATCAGTTATGAAATCAGTGTGAAATCCTGGAACTCATGTAAAACTCTGCACAGGATCATCTTTTTAAGGCACAGTTCTTCGTTGCGGCTTTTGACAGATAAGCAGCACCAGGTTTCAGAAAGTAGCCCTTCTGTCATTTACTAAGAGCGCAACTTTCAACAAAACTGTATGATATAAAGCATAGAATTTCACATCCAATGTTCCACTGTGTGAAATTTCCAACTCTGTTTTGTAGAAGATGTAAATTTTTAAATGGAGTAATGACTTTGACTTGCTCATGGTCCTTCTGGATAAAAACATTAAGTGAAATTAGATAAAGTGCAGAATAAATGGAACTAAAATTAAATCAGAGAAATTTTAACCAACAAACTATGAATGTGTAATAGGACTTGCTGCATCATCTTGTTCATAAAATGTAACCAGTATGTCCCCATTCGTACCGTCCCTAGTACTGTATTGTACTGGCCACGGTAATATTCTAATCTCTATGCTGTGATAACACTGTGATTAAGCACTTTTATAACAGAAATGCTTCACGCCTGCTGACCTTTCCTAGTTTATTTTTCATAGGAAAGCACAAGCCAAAGTGCAAAAAAATCTAGGAAAGCTAATAAATGAGTAATTGCAGCCTTTCTTCGGTGAATCAAATATCGCACCAGGGGAAACTCTAGCATTCAGAATGTACACACATACCACCTACATTATTTATTTTCAGTTTGTTCTTTTCTCTTCTTTGCAGGTGCCCAGAGATGTGATAAAGGACCGCTCGACTCCGTCTCCGGGCTGAGTCAAAGTGGGTCCCTGCCCTTGATCTTCCTTTGGCTTTGTCTGGGGGAAAATAAAACTCATTAAACACCGACGAAAGCATCATTTCATCCCAAGAAAGTCAGGTTTTGACAGTTCCCTTTCAAGACACACAGTACATGTTTCTCAACACTTAAAATTATCTGCTGGCTCCTAATGACAGTTAATTTTGGTCCTTCACAATTTATATATTTTTGTCATCATATTAACTGCATTAATTTTTGAATTACAGCAAAACATACAAGAGCACTGAGAAAATTTCAAACAGTTCGGAAAAACATTAAGCCAAAAATAAAAAAAAATCTTACTCCTATTTTCCTGCTGTTCTACATTCATATCCCTAATTCTGCTCCCAACGTTTTTTCTTGACATTTTTCCAGAAAAGTATCTAATATATGTCCTATATCCACATTTATACTCACTTTACTTTGCATAAATGGAAGTTTACAATAAAAACGGTTTACAAATTCCTTTTTCACACCAAAGTGACTTGCAAATCATTCTAGATGTGCACGTTATAGTTCTCTCACATTCTTTTTAATAGCTAAGAGCATGCCATATTAAGGATACAGCTAGATGTATTTATATTACTATTTCCCTATCATGCACACTTAGGTTTAGTCAGGATTTTTTAAAAAATCTGTGTAGATAATCTTGCAATTAAATTCCTAAACACATAGGGCCTTGCGCTGGTGTGCCAGGATATTTTGTAGAGAAATTACTAGGTGTGGGTATGTACATTTTAAATATTGGTATACATATTCCAAATTTCATTCTAGCAATTTAGGCTCCCAGCAACAGTGAATGGACGTGCCTGCTTCACCAGACACACATCAAAATTATGAAATCTATCAGTTGGTATCAAAATGCCAAGTGGAATTACAATGCTAACTACCAAAGGGACCACATTAGAGATTTATGACAGTTAATAAGCCAAGTTCCTTCTCAGTGAAGAAATGTAATCAATAGCTGTGATTTTCTAAATAGAGCAACATCAATTTTACAGTCGTAAAAAGGGGGCCCTCAAAGGGAAATATAAACAAAACAAAACAAAACAAAAAGCCTATCTGTCTTGATCTTGGCTCTGAAAGGAAGAAAAGTTTTCCTTGAAAAGTTTTAGTCACAGTTTAATCCTTGTGCAGGATTGGGGTTGAAAATCATTCTACTTATGAGATCTAAAATCTCCCAAGCAAAGAAATGAATTTAAAATGTCCCTGGGTTATTGGCTCCTGAATCACACACACACACACACACACACACACACACAC